TACCCTAAATCTGGGAGGTCCTTGCAAGTATAGTTGTCTGAGCTGCGGTGATTGCATCGGGCTTGGCTTTGGATCCTAACGAAACCTTGAAATGTGATTGCCCCTTCGTAGCAGGAACTATGGTTCACGTTAGGGGCAGCACTAGCACCTGTAGGGACGCGCGCTTCAAATTTTACCCAACACAGCCAGCCTGCAAGCCTGGTCACATGTGAGCAGACTCGAAGTTTAGGGCCCTCAGCGCTAGGACCTGAACCCTATGAGCAGCCATAGTCCCCCTTAAGTACATAGAATATAGCTTTGGGTATATTATAATAAGATCCCCATATACCCCATATTCTATCTACTTAAGGGGGACTATAGATTGAAGCCATGGGTTCGTCACTTTTGTGGGGTTGGTGTCTGCTGATGTTCTTGAGCTGTTCTTTGGCATTCATGCTGGATCTGCTAGCAGTAAGTGGACTTTTGTAACCCCAACCCAAAATTAGGATCCTAGTGCTTAGTGGGCGCCCCGGAAAGCATGCATGTGTCGTCTATGATTCCATATCCTGTTTGTTTCGGGTTAATGAAGGCTAAGCACGGGGGAACCTTGGGGGGGGAGGTGGTGGTTTGGCCCTGGACCTGAAAAGTCGTTGAGCGCATTCGGCATATCACCCTCTTAGACTCTGGATTCATCGGTCATGTGCCGTGCGAGAGCTGTTGCAGTCGAAGGGCCCAGGTCCTTGCAGTAACATACTGCCGTGACACATTGCTTGCCCTGGGCGGCCTGCTCCGTAACTATTCCTGATAAATGGCTCACCGGGGGTATGTCATTATGTTCGTCACTATGATCTAGCAGGCACCTTTCTCGATCCAACCAGGGTCATGTTGCTGTTCCGCGCAGCAGACATTTCAAGGCATATGCCTATACAGGTGTGGCAAAACGCCGCGTGCTGTTTTGGTTCGGCCATAAAGTCCAAGGAGATTCCGCTTCGGCGGGCAATTACTGTCATTGTGACTGGTTACTCTTCATACTGCTTGCTTCGCTTTGTTTAGTCCTTCTGTTCGATTATTGCAGTTTTGCCGCTGCTGCCGCTGCCGCGCCTTACCCTGCTGCCGCCTCTGCGCTGCTGCCACAACGTTCGTACTTCTTTTAGTAGTGCTGGTGGTATCGTCAGCAGAACATACACACCAGCCACAGGGGCGGCCGCGCCACCACTATCAGCGTACCACTGAAACTGCAACTCCTCCCCCTACTGTCGCTGCTGCTGCTTCTGCTACTACTACGACGACTACGACAACGGCTAGTGTACGAAATCAGCTGCTGTGACTTGTATCATTTTTGGCACCACTTCCGTTTCCATGGTTCTGTTCTCATCATGCATTCAGACTGTTGCCAATATTGCAGCTTCTCCTTGTATTCATGGCCCTCCTCTCCGCGGAGGCGGGTTTCGTTGTTTTGGGTCTCTGTTGACGGCAGTTCTTCTGATCTTGCCAGAACAGTGGCCCAGGCCCAAGGGCCCTGTTGCTCGCACAGCCACACAGCCGTGTCTCCCACGTGCATCGCTCGAGTCTAGAGGGTTTCCTTCAGCAGAGGACTTAAACAAGCATATGTTCCCTAAATCATCCCACTCAAAGGTCCATGGAATTCCTGCGTAAAATTTAGATGCTATACCTACTTTCTATAAAGTTGATATTGATGACTTGCGTGATCCGACTGGAATCCCGATCCGGTCTCCCAGGCTCTTAGTCGCATACATGATCCTTGCATAGTCCTACAACCAGAATCCCTGATGGGGAGACACGCAAGCTGTGCTCGAGTGCCTAATGCCAGACCATTCTGGCCTGCTATGTCTCAATTCCGATCAGTTACCTCTCCTCTCCAAGGGAAGTTCAGTGCTATTAGGAGGAGGAGCAGTAGCAGCAGGAGGAGAAGCATGAGGTGTAGTTTTGGAGATAGAATAACCCCAATATAACCTGAATATAACCCCAATACACTATAGTAGTTTCCACTTTCTTTTCCATTATCCCAATATGACCCCATATACTATATTAGTTTCCATCTTCTTTTCCGTTATCCCAATATAGACCCACTATACTGTAGTAGTTTCCATTTTCTTCTCCATTCTCCCAATATAACCCCAATATACTACAGTAGTTTTCATCTTTTTCATTATCCCAACCCTTTTCCCAAAAACCCTAAACCTTAAATAGTGGTCAATAGAGGCTCTGAGGTTGACACATGGCCTGCCGCAGTGGTTCGACTCGCAATGCAATCTGAGAGTCCAGGCTGTAAGGTTCTTCGACGGCATAGAAGTAAACCCCAAAATGGCTACCCCAGCATCCTAGCATCAACACCCCCCTTTTCGAGAGCAGTATCCATAGTCCCAAGCCCTAAATCACAAAGTGCAAGCATGTCGGGAACACAGGACTTCGAGTTGCGCACATTTGAGTGACACCGCAGTCACTATTACCTAGGCGTTCCAAAACAAAGGTACTCTTTGGGCTTCAGGGTCATTTTACGTATTCTCAGGGTACTGTGCGGTTCCTTCCCACGATTTTACGAGGCTTGTTGGTGAGCGAGTGAATCCGAACCCTGTGCCCAAATCCCTAGACCCCAGCAAGGATTCGGTGATGTGAGAAAACAGAACAATTTGCAGTACGATCCACTAGCAATCCAGTATCTGCAAGTCCACAGACCCTTGTTCTGGCCTTTGGTTAGCTAGGAATGAAGGAATGGATCCTTATAGTAGCCCCTATATAACCTATCATGGTAGTTTCCAGTTTCGGTTCCATTCCTTCATTCCCAGCTAACCAAAGGCCAGCATAGTGACTAAGAGTTTGTACAGCCCTGAATTGCCTCTCAGATCGCATGCTTCCAGGCCCATGCTGGAAATCTGATCTCGTGTCAGGGCTGCAGTCGCTGCTCCAGCTCTAGGCAGCTACCGACTGTGCTCAATTACTCTCTTCTTTCTGTAGGACAACAAGTCTCATCACCGGCTTTAAAAAATGGTGCAGCGTGCAGTGATAAAAATCGTGGATGGCCAGTGCGAATGCGACCACAATCACCATGGCCAACATTGCCAGCGAAGCCACCGCACCACGCTACTGCCCCGAACCCGCAGCCCCTCTCCTATCCTTACCCCTACTTGGAGGGTCATGGGGACTTGCTAAGTAGGTTGATAAGCCGTATAAGCCAAAAAATGACCTCAGTTATCCCCATTGCTAGTTTTCCAAAACAGGGGAACCCCAATATAGACTCCTAACTCCTACAATCCTCATCATGGGTACCCCCAAAATGATACCCCTAGTTTTTGGAAACCTCCATTATTAACCTACTTTCTACGTCCTCATGACCCTCCAAGTACCTGCTCCCACTCCTGTCTTCTGCCTCTACCTGCCCCGACCCCTACCACTTCCAATGCCACCGCGCCGAGGAGGCCCCCGCCGCCACCGCCACTGCCAATTCCTGATATTACTATTATATTGTTATCACTACTACTGCTATTCCTATTATTCTTATTGTTATTATTACTACTCTTATTGTTACTATCATTTTTACTACTATTGTTATTATTAGTACTATTATGACGATTATTGCACATATGCAGAGGAAGTGCAGTCGGCTGGGGAGGGCGCTATGAACTACACGGCCTTCACGAAGGCCTTGGGATCGGCCCTAGGGACCCAGGTCAAGGGCTTTGGGGGTTCGCCTCAATGAGAGGGAGGGCTCAACCTTCGTACCTAGGTATGCAGTATTTCTGAGTCCTGGGGGGTTCCAATGTCCACGGAATCCCAGGCGTTTCCTGTATCAGAGAACTGCAGTGTCAAATACCTCAGCATTATTGTTACTACTTTTACTATTATTACTACTATTACTCCTATTGCTATTGTTACTATTGTTACTATTTTTGCTACTATTACTATACCACCTTTAGTGAGAAGCTTTCTATGGTCCGTCTGGAACCAGTCTGCCGAGCTTGGCGGTCATGCATTGTTTTTGGCTTCAGCCGGCCTTCACGGGATGTTCTGCGAGGTGGAGATGGTTTAAGATGGCTTTATCGTGGCCTTGGCCCCCAATTTGTTAAGAGTTGGGTGTACTGCGCTTCACTGTTCAGGCTTATGAGAAGTACCAGAAGTTCATGGAGTACCTCCACAAGGACTCACTTCCAACGTTCTCACATGACATGGATGGTGGGTGCGCAGCGCAAAGAACTCAGTGCATGTAGGCCGTTCGAAGCCAAAGTCAACACGCATCGGGCTAGGCTGACCTCTGGTGCTCCAAGCTTCCCCGGAAGCCTTGGGTTCCCGTAAGCCTTCAGTGTGAACAAGAAGATGGTCGCAATTGAACATCACCTTCTCTTTAGTCCTCCATGAGCTACTGCTGCTACTAATCATAGTATTGTCGCTCTCAGAGGACCTTGTAGTCATTGTCACAATGTTTCTGACATCTTCAGCATGTCTCCCAGGAGGGCAGCCACTCCCCTGTCAACTTCCACAAGCTTTCCCCTCAGAATGGCTAGAGTTTCTGCTGTCAGGGTCTAGGACAATGCTCTTACACAGCAGAGAGCCTGACATGAATCGGAGTTTCCCCTGCGTGTGGCTCGGTGTAATGGGTGTTCCTGCGTGAGGTTGCTGCAGGAAGTTGGGGTTTATTCTCTTTTCACACCTCCAGCTGACTCCCAGTGACCCAGAAATCTTCAATGTACCATCAGAGTCGTACTCGTGGCGCTTGAACGGGAAGAGGGAATACTGCAACGAACGTAGCTGGACGAGGTGCATTTCACAAAGTTTCCTCGAAGAAATCCATGACTTAAAATGGTAGGTCACAAGGATGGTTCTTCGGCTTTGGGCTTGTAATGCCGCCTTGACTGGGTTGAAAGATTGAACTTTGGGATGAAGGTTGCTGGCATCTTTGGCATGGGATGCTGTTGAGCTGACGAAGGAATTGCAACCGCGGCCCCTGTGTTGAGGCCCGTTTTCGGCTCTGACCCACGCCTTGCCAGAAGCCCGAGGATTGCAAGATGGATTGCCTCTGCGCCGCGCCGCCTGCTGTTATGAAGTCTTACAAGCTTGTGTACTTCGATGCCCGGGGCGTGGCTGAAACAGCGCGGCTGGTTTTCGCAGCTGCCAAGCAGCCCTTCGAGGATGTGCGCCTTTCCCTTACCTTCGGAACGCCTGGTGACTTTAGCACCATCAGTCGCCCAGAGTTTGATGACATGAAGGCCAAGGGCGAACTGGACGTGTCCATGGGGAAGGTCCCACTCCTGGAGGTGGATGCAACAGTCAGCATATATTGGGTTATCTTGGGGTTATATAGGGATATTTGAGGGTCATATGGGGATATATTGGTTGTGGATATATAGGGATATATATTTGGGCTTTATAGGGATATATGAGGATAATGGAAAAGAACATGGACGCCACTGGTATTTGGGGGTTATGTATTTCAATGACCGACACCACGACTCTTGAACCGTGCACCACACCACACCCTCTTCCCCCAACATGGCTATATAGGGTTATATAGGGTTTAGGGTTTAGAGGTTTCCCAAAATTGTGGGTACCTTCTTGAGGGTCCCATAATAAGGACTATCGTATTTTTGGGTCCATATTGAAGTCCCTTATTTTGGGAAACTACCATCTTGAAGGTCAGCATTATGCTGATGGTTTGGGCTCAACATTCCGATGAGGGATCCTGACAATTCCCTTCGTCATAATATGTTTTGCATGCGCGGGCGGGACAAGACTCAGCTATTTTACGTCCCCGCATGCATTGAGCCCAAGATTTTTGTCACATGCCGCCACCTTGAGTCCAAAGCCCTAATCGTTGGGATTGGGGAGTTTCGCAGAATGCTCCCTGCCTATTCCTAAAGGGGGACCCCTACAGTCATCACCGTCGAGTGGCACCTTTATTCTGCAAAGCCTCCTTTCATGCTTGAGGATGCAGCACCATGATGTCAGATGTCCTGTACTTAGATGATTCCCATGACAAGAGGGACGGGACTTTGGCAAGCCTTCACTCTAAGCACAACATGAGTCGTTTCAAGGCTTCTCAGTCAATCTTTCGCGCGAAGGGTATTGGAGCGATCTCTGAAAAAAAAAATCCCGTTCATCCCGTTCATGTTCTCCCTAGATGCCCATTGGCCTTCGCACAAGCAGCAGCAGGTGGACGGCAAGAAGCTCGCACAGTCCAAGGCCATCGAGCGATACCTTGCCAAGGACCCGCCAACCCCACTAAACAGAGCTTTCCCGAGGATTTGATAGGGTGTAGCAAGCCTCGGCCAGCTTTTGAGGGGATGGCGTATGTCATGATCTCGCGCGTGGAGGGCATTGAAATCGCTAATGCATGCAGGTCTAGTGGGAACTTTGACGTCGCACGCCCAAGCCATAAACTAGAAACTCACCGTCCAAGCCAAAGCCCACATAGAACCGCATAAAAGCTCTTTACAATTGCACGAAGTCTTTGTAAAGGCTTTTTTGGAGTTCCGTGCTAGTTGGCAATTTGTGATTTTGATCAAGAACGTATGTACTCCTGTACATATGTATTTGCGACACTCAGAGCGGAGCGGGTTACCGTCACTACTTCATTACTTGTGGATGACACTCGTATTTTTTTGTGGTAGATACCTGAGTACTTCACCCTGAACCCTAAGCCTTACTGCCCAAGCCCTAAATAAACCTCAGACCTTTCACCCTAAGCCTCAATCCCTAAACCCGAAGTCCTAAACCCTAAACCCTAAACCCTAGACCCTAAACCCTAAACCCTAAAACCTAAACCCTAAACCCTAAACCCTAAACCTTCACCCTAGCGAGCTCCAAGCTCCAAAACGGCATTCCTCTCGGATTGCTGATCTGGGGGGGGGGGGGGTTAGCACGCGGGACTGCGCAGGAGAAGTGTTTCTGAGATGCCAGATTTTTTCAGATGACCCCAAAAGTTTTGCTTTGGCTTCTCAACGTTTTTAAAGGGTGTAGGGTAGGGGGTTTAGGGTTTAGGAAGGGACGCCCGCTTCAACCCTAAACCAACCATCATCACCATCAACCAAACTCTCTCGCTGTCGTTGGCAATCACCACCAACAAAACCCAACGCTAAACTCCACGAACCCGGAACACTCAAGAACCCCTACCCTAAAGAACTCCAAGCCTGAAACCCTTAAGAACCCCTAGCCCTGAAACGCAAAAGTGAACCCCGAACCAACCTAACCCTAGACCCACTAGAAACCCTAAACCCAAAGGAGCCCCTACCCCTAAACCCAGCTAAAGAACGCCGAGCCACGAATAAGCCTAAACTGAAAACCCTAAAGAGATCCTAGCCCCAAAACAACAGAACTTGGAGAACTTGGGCAAACCTGGGGGTATGGGCGGCCTCAAACCCTAAACCCCAAACCCTAAAGCCTCATTTCCTGAGGACTTGGGGCTCATGGGTAGCTCCAGCGTGGAGGCTGCCTTGATTGACATGCTGGGGGAGACAATCCGCGATCTCAAGGCGTTTCTGGCTTAGGGTTCTTGGGGTTTAGGGTTTAGGGTAGTTTAGGCGTTTGGGCTGTAGGGTTAAGGGCTGTAGGATTTAGGGCTGTAGGATTTAGGGCTTTAAGGTTTGGGGCTGAGGGTTTGAGAGTTAGGTTTCAGGGCTTAGGGCTTTAGTTTAAGGCTTCAGATTTTCAAGGTACAATTTCTGTTTACTGTTTACGGTTTTTGGCTTCGGGTTTAGGGTTTGGGGTTGGGAGCTCTACAAATGCGCCCTTGGGCTGAGGTTACCTTTGGGAGGCCTTTCATTGCAAGAACTCTCGAGATGCCCTTACCAAAAGGCATCAGTCAGGATCTTTGAATTTGCTTTAAGTCTTGTAGTTAACTTATAACATCCTGCATGACCCTAAGTACCTTGTATCTTGGGAATAATTTAGGTGGACCCCCCACCCAGTAATAGTGACTACAAGGGATAATGGGGATTATTAGGGTCCTCTTATATTCTTACTATACCACTATTACAGGGTGGGGGGTCCTCCTAAGGAATAATGATGGTAGTATAGACCAAGGTCAGGCAGGGCTTTAGTATCCACAGTAGGGTTACGTAAGGTTTCAGGGTTTGGGGCTGAGGTTGGGGCTTCAGAGCTAAGAGTAACTTCTCGGTAGGTTAGGGTTAAGGCTACGGACTGACTAGGCTGAATGGTTCAGGATTTAGGGCTCAGGGCTAAGGAAGATTCAAGCTTAGGGCTTAGGGTTGTGCTAGGCTTAACGCCCATGGTTGATTTCGAGGAGTTTTGAGGGCTTTGCTTCGTGTAATGAGGAGTTTGTGTTGAGAACAGTCGTACTTATATCCGTACCTTAAAACGCACGCAATGGTCACTCTGACGGGTGCGAAGGATAACTCCTGTCTTGGTAGTTGTTGACTTGCGTGCTGTGGGATGGCTACACAGCTACCCTGCGACTATTGGTGACATGATTGGGAGCACTGTTCGAAGGATGGCTGCGAGTAGCACGTTCCTAGAGCGCGCAGGCTCCTATGTTTCCGTGTTCGCTGATCCTGGTGTCATCCCTTTCTGCATTACTGCTCCTCTGCTTGTTGTCATGCCTCGCTGTCAGCATGATTGTACTTTAGATCAGTTGCGGGTGGTGTAGTTTGGGTCCTGGGATTTAGGCACTCATGGTTGAGGGCGCCTCCATGCTGAGGAGGCTTACCAGAAGGCCAAGGGTGTCAAGGAGGAGGAGAAGAAGGCAGCAGCCAGCCCGCAGGAAGTGCTCACCTGGTATTCTGTATTGAGATTGGCGGCTGCGGGCTTCAAAGCGCCCATCAATTTCCTCATGCTCTCACCAATGCCGTCATTCTTTCACAACGTCTTTGCTTTTTTTAAAGTGTCGTGTGCTTGGGGAGCTGCTTCTTCTGTTTTATGGAGATTGCTATGGAAATTAGAAGCCCAAAGCCGCAAATTATGGTGCCAACTTATAAGGTGCCGCTAGGTCTTGCTGCTAGGAACTAGCCTGATGCTTTCCAAGAAATCCTGGAGTTCTTGCCTTCCAAGCCATGAAACAATGCCACCTCGAAAAACATCCCAACGGCATTCAAAACCCAATCCCATTGACGTCTTACACCCCGCACTTGGCTTGAGATTCAGGCCTTCTGTCTTTGATGTAGGATTTAGGAAATTTTGGTCTGCTTTGCACGTGTCGCGTTCTGCGTGGTCATGCTGTCGACCCCTTGCCGGTTCGGAGGCACCTCAAAACTAGGCGAAAATCAGGCTTCAAGAAGATGTTAAGGCTGCAATGCAAGAACCTTCTCATCGCCAGCAGCCTCGCAGATGGGTGGTTAGCACGGAAGTAAAGACACAACAGGTGGGCATTCACGCGTTGAGGATGGAAGAAGTCTTGCATCATCATACTATATACCATTACTCCTTGGGACTTAGCTTGGACCTTAGACCCTTAACCCTTTGGGATTCCCTTATATTCCAAGTATAGGTACCTAAGGGTTAACCCTTAGTAGGGGTCCTAAGTGCCACGTAGATTAGTTACATACTGTATACCCCGGAAGTTACTGTACGTTCGGGTTCCAAAGTGGTGCAGGGTTTCCTTCATCTGCAGCATGATGAAAGTGGAGCTGATCTAGACCCAGCAAAGCTCCAAGACTTAGAAGTCCTCATAGGGTTTAGGGTTTAAATTAGGGTTTAGGGTTTAGGGTTTAGGGTTTCGGGTGTGGATACTTCCCAAAGTAATATATACCCCAATCTACTACAGTGGTTTCCATTTTCTTTTCCATGATCCCAATATAAACCTCAATATTCCCCCAGTATATACCCCAATATCCTATAGTAGTTTCCATTTTCTTCTCCATTCCCTGAGCTCTAGACCCCAAATAGTTCTTTTTCCTTCCTTCCTTCCCCACTGACACACCAGCAATGTTGAACCTCTTGCCGCAGTGGCGGCTTCGTGCCTGAGGCACTGGAGAAGTGGTTCAAGGAGGAGCTTCCAGAAACTTGCTTCATTCCCATACGTTTAAATTCTTTACCCTAAGCCGCGTTGAGATCCTTTTGGGATACTGGTGGAACCGGTTGGAGGGTGTCAGGCAGTGCCCTAAGCCCAAAAAGCACCGAGCCCTTCAGAAGCCTTCTTGGGGCCATTTTGCCTGACATGTGTCGTGCTGTTAGGTGATGCCTGAAGGAGCTAGAGTTTAGGTGGACCTCGCACCCAGTAATAGTGACTGCAAGGGATAATAGGGATTATATTAGGGTCCTCTCATATTCTTATTATACCACTATTACAGGATGGGGGGTCCTCCTAAGCCAGGGTGTTGTAGACCTAGGCAGGATATATTCTAGGGTTCAGGGTTTAGGGCCAAGTTTTGTTCACGTTGGCGCCATCCGTACTGCCATTGGTGCCGCCATCGTTCCGCCTGTTGTTGGCCAATCATCTCTTGCAGTGGTGCTTGCTTCGTTATGCTGTCCAGTAGAGTCCTGAGCACGTTGCCATCATTTTGTACCGCTGCTACTTTTTTTTTTTTCCTGCTGTTCCGGTCGAACTGCGCATACACGTAGTCTGCAAGTAGTACTGGAGCAATGTTTTCCCAACATCATCCACTTATAATTCCTGATCAGGACCCCGATGATCCTGCATAGTCCCTACGCTAAGGTACCCCTCGTTCAACAGCTACTGGAATATAGTAGTTTCCCCAAATAATGGACGCCACTATAGACTCAAAATATTCTAGTCCTGATTATGGGGACCCCCAAAAAGGTATCACTGATTTTGGGAAACCCCTAAACCCTGAACCCTAAACCCTAAACCCGGTATATCCCAAATAACCCCTTCATGTCTGACTGGCAGAAGGGGGCCCGCTAAGGAGTGGGTTGCAAAGGCAGAGAAGTCCATTCCACCAGGGCCAGGGCCCTTCTTGGTTGGAGGCCCTTGGTTACTTACTTCGTGTTTAGGGTTTAGGGTTCAGGGTTTAGGGTTTGGGGTTTGGGGTTGAGGGTTTAGGCTTTGAGGGTTTAGGGTTTGGGGTTGAGAGTTAGGGTTTGGGGTTGAGGGTTTAGCATGGGCCTTAGTCGGGTTCTGTCAGATTCTGGCATCTTGCCAACTTGTGTTTGGCCTCTAACATCAGTAATCCCCTCCCGTATATTATAACATGTTGGGAGTATTGGGGGGGGGGTTTGATATTAGGGGGAGGGGATTAGAGCTGCACGTACCTCTGTGTTCTACACAGCAATAAACTGGTTCTACTTCTTGTGGCCATCTTGAGGGCTAACACCACAAACATGTGGCAGTTACCAAAATTTTGAGTGCCCTGACGGTATATCCCCCCATCTCTGGTAGTTCCAAGAACTTAGCGCCCGGAGCATTCACTGAACTTGGGAACTTCTTAATATTGAGAACCCAAAGCCGTAAACCCTAGACCCTAAGACCGCCAGCTGCGGCGTCTTGCAAATCCCAATGGAGCGTTAGCTACAGCGGAAGGCTCCAACACTGAGAATGAGTTGTTTTGGGTGTGGGGTGACTGTTTTTACTATTACCGTTGATGTTTATTATTGCTAGTATTACAATAATATTTAAATATTCTTACAAAAATATTGCTATATCAATATTATTGACACTATTCGAATTTTCACTCCTTTTTATCATCAGTACTATTATTGCTGTTATTACTTTGTTACTCTTAGTAAGAATTATTGCTATTACTACTGTTGCTACCAGTACTACTATATTGCTTGTATCACTATTATTTTCAGCAAGGCAAGCTCTCACTGGCCGACCTACAGTGGTACGTGCTGCTTGGCCCCTCAAAGGTGTGGAGGTCCTACATGTGGGTTTCCCAAAATAAGGGGAACCTAGTATACTCCGTTTTCTTATAATCCCTACTACAGGGACACCCAAAAAAGTATCCCTGATTTGGGAAACCACCAAATCCCAGACCCCAACTCTTTCGGATATTTGTTGCGTGACGGGAAATGGAAATGTGAGTTTCTCAATATCACCGTTCTCAAAATGTCTAAGGGCCTGCCATTTTGGGAAACTCTCGAGAATTTTTTCAAGTCTCAACTTCTTGTAACCTGCAGGTCATCTCCGCGCCTACCAACTAGGGGTTTCTCAAAATGTGGGACTCATGGAGGAACTTCTCCAGGTTTCTATGACCCCAGCTCTAACGACAGTCTTACGTCGGTATTGGTCGGTAAAGGCCATGGGCAGAGTCAGCAAAGAGGCGGGGCAGCTGGTTAAACATTGCGGGAGGGCGAATGCAACTATATATGCTTATACTTATGTGCATACTTAGATAGGCGCATGTGCCGCAATATTTGCAAAGCACCCTGGTGCTTCTGGTACCCTTGCAGTGACTGGCTCCAGTGACTCAACGCCAACCTTTATGTGTGCAGGTGTACAGCATTAGAAAAGCTGGCAAAACCATTTACGTAAGACCTTCCGGATTCCCTAAAAACCAAACCTCAGGCTGCTCCAGTCCCCTGGCGGCTTCTTTGATGATGCGGAGGCAGCAAAGGCCTCTTTCCAGGACCTCCGCCCTTCCAGGGGTTTCGGGGTATAGTTTCGAACAGCCAGGGCCCGTTGTGAGGGTTCTTAGGCAGTTAGTAGGGACTCGTGGGATTACATACTCTCGGGAGAATCGCAAAGAATTCAGGAGCACGCATGAGGTAGGCAAATTGGGGTTACTGGGACCGAGTAGGGTTGTACCAGGTTCTCGCATATGTGGGACGAGCGTGCTTTTTCCTGTCTCTCTTTTTCTGCTCGGATTTTTTTTAGCTCCTTGAAGCTTTCCACAGCACGTGTGCGGTGTCAGATGTTTCTGAAGAGTCCTTCCATTTCCAGAGAGCTACAGCGGGGCAAGAACGCTTCAATCATAGGGTGTGAGTCAAAGCTTTGTCTCTGAGTTGCCGGAGCCCAACCCAGCTAGCATAGCCTAAGCTCCCTAAGCCATGAGCGTAAATGGTGGTTTCCCAAAATAATCACAAAATAGGAAGCCCAATATAGACCCCAACATACTATAATCTGTATTATTGGGGACCCTAAAAGGGTGACCCTGACTTCAGGGACTCCCCCCAAAATGACCCCAAGACTTGGAGAAAAAACATCCCAGGATTCACCGAAGATGAAAGCGGCCTTGCACTTTGGCTTTCACATCTGCTTGCAGGTTCAGGCAAGTTATAACTCAAGTATATAGTCCCCCTTAAGTAGATAGAATATGGCTTTGGGTATAGGATCCCCATATACCCCATATTCTATCTACTTCAGGGGGACTATAGCAGTTGGTTGGGTCTTCAAAGGAGTTACAGGGAGATAAAGAGGGTTTAGGGCTTGGGGTAACCCCCTCCCAACCTGGGTACTGGGGGATAGACCCTAAACCCCAAACCCTAAAGGCCCTAAACCCTAAACCCCTAAATCCCTGAACCCCTAAACCGCTAAACCGCTAAACCCTAAACGATTGGTGCCGTTATACTTGGCTCATATTTGCCCTGAGTCTCCACGTGTGCCTGTGTCGATAAAGGCTTCAAGGTGGAGCGGCGTGAGTCAGTTTAGGGTTTCGGGTGTAGGGTTTCGGGTTTAGGGGTTCAGGGTGTAGGGGTTTAGGGTTTACGGTTTAGGGGTTTAGGGGTTCAGGGGTTTAGGGTTTAGGGTTTAGGGTTTAGGGTAAGATGGGCTACCCCTGGGTGACTTGGGGATATGAAGGGTCTTTAACGAGATGATGGAGTCCGTTTTACAAATCC